TCATTTTCAACCAAAAATACATGTTTAAAAGTGATTATTGACTCAAACCAAGAAGCTATAAAAATGGTAATGTTGTTTTGGAAAAGTTCATTTGGAGAAGTACTCCCAAACAAAGCCAAGTCATTCTTGAAAAATGATTGTTGGAGTTTGGTTTTTAGACTAAATCATAAAGTTTAGAAGTTTGAAGGATAATTTTCCAAATTGGTGGAATATGATTTATAAACGTTGTTCAAGATAATTGACAAATTTCGGGTAATTTTGTGAATAAGTAAAAGTTTCAAGAATCAAAGTGAACAAATTTCAAAAACTAGAAGAACCATAAAAAATGATTGGTTCTCATGTAAATGCTAATCGGAAATTAGTATAATTTTTAATTAAATAAAAAATATTTTATTATTCAAGAAAAAAATAGTAGATAATGGATAATAATACTTTAAGGGGTTTATTATTTCATTTGATTTTATAAGATAATGATGAATGAAAATATAATTTTACCACTTTCCTTTTCTCTTCATCTTCTCCAAACCGTGGGAATTGATTGAGCTAAGGAAATCTTTCAAGATTTGGTTGATTTTGTATAGAAAATAGGTAATTTTATTAGTTTTATAATCTAATCCTTTACATTTCGGTAAAGAAAATAAGTGATATGTGAGGGTAATTAAGTCTTTACTAAAGGCTAGGGTTTTGAGGTTGTGAAGAGGGAGATGTGATTTTCATGTTAGAAAAGCACTATTCATATTATTTTTAAAGTATTTAGAGGCTTTTTAATATGAATTTATAGTAATATATATTATTCATGTGTTGTATTGAAGCTTGTGTAATTTGCAAGAGGGCTCTTCCAAAGCTAGAGGCAAGAGCATGCTAGAATATTGATCCATGGAAAGATCATATACGAAAAGGTATAAGATATATGTTGTTGAAAAGCATGTTATATGAATTTGATATGGTGGTATAGTTGGGGATGGATGAAATATATTGGAACAATTATTGTAATTAGTGGGATTTATCTTATTTTTATTTTGAAATTTGAATTTTCTTCTATTAATAATTTATTTTATTAGTTTGTGTCTACCATAAAATTTTGTTTGTTCACATCCACTTTGTGTTGTTAATATATGTGTTGTGTGATTTGATTCATTCGCAATTGGTGCAAGTATACACGTCGCAAGTTATAATATAAAATAGATATCGTCTCTATAGGGATTGGCAAAACTTTGTGCTCTAACTCCTTGCACTGTAAAAATAATAAATTGGTGATAGTAGAAGTTTGAATTAACGAGTAAAATAAAGATGCAAGTAATAAAAGAAGATTGTGATCAAATAAGAGAGCAAGTCGGGTTATCGTGGGTCGTGGTGTGATGACTATATGAATAGTCTGAGCAATTGATAGCCGAGGAAACTCGATTGCTATGACAACTGAGAATGATTCAATTACCGTAACAACTGGGTTCCTCCCTTCAAAGCTCGGCGAAGCGTTTTTCAATGTCTTCTTGTTATCCCTAACCCGAAGAACTGATCAATTATGCATGCCTTGGTGATACATCCCTGCATTAACCATGGGTGAACAACAACTGATCTTGTGCCCCTTTTAGCCATTAAAATCCAAATCTTATCCCTAAAATGGATTAACTTTCACCAACGTTTGAATCTAACTCGCCCGATATTAGATAAATGGATAATTCTCGAGATCCTCTCCTAATTCACTCGAAATCAAATTAAGAACCAAGAATGAACAAACTTTGAATTTAAACCGCAATAAATGAACCGAAACAAATCTAAACATTTTTACAACCACAAAAACCCAATAACCCAAGCCAATTTAGTTTAGTTCATGGCTGGGTGAAAAAGAAATACAAGATAAAAATTCACAAACATGAAAATAGAAAAAAAAAGAAAAAGAAAAAAAACTTACGATCAGCTCTCAGGCTTTCTCTCTAGTCGGCCCCCTTGTAGATTACGATTTGATTAATATTATAGGAGATGATTAGGTCAAATTGGTTGTTGATAAGGATAAGTTTTATTTGGAATAAAAGAGGTAATAAATCTATTTTATCTTTATCCTCAAACTCTTTGCAAATTAGACTTCTTTATCTCCTTAAATTCTGTGTGGAATTCTAGGTTTTTAGGATTTTTTCCTTGTTTGTCGTTCTTATCTTGAATGAGGTGGACTTCTCCAGTCATCTTCAAAAATTGGTTTGACATACCCTTCAGAAATCAGCTTTCAATGCCCGACAATTCCTGCTTGTCAAGGCAATCCCTAACCTGCACAAATTAACACACACCAATATCTTTTCCACACAAAAAAAAACAAAATGTAAAATCAAACTTAACAGGGAAGGAAAATATGAAATCATGCATGAATGACTAATATGCAACTAAAATGGGCCCAAGTGTAACAATAATTATGAGTAAAATGGTAGAAAATATAGTACTTTTGTGCACTTAACACACCTCCAAACTCGAACTATTAATTGTTCTTAAGCAATGCATAACATCCACTCCCTCACAACAATTAGATAACATCAATCTTATACTTGTTTTGCACCTGTTACTTTAAAACCTTAGGAATTTTCTGCCAATCACCTTCAAACCTCAAGATAACAAGAAATCAACTCAAATCAACTTATGATGCTCGTGTATGTGTGTGCTCTTAGTAAAGAAGGTTTACCACCATGGGTATTTGCAGAGAATATCATAATTATCAAAGTAATTAATAAAGCAAAAGATGTCACAACAATTACTATTTAGCTTAACTAGAGCTTCAGCTTATCATAACTACCTACGAGTACTTGAGTAGTAAGATGTTGTCAACAACGATCCCCCTAGCCTTTTAGGTAGAGTCATCCAGTGAAGACTTTTATTCACTCATGTTATTCACGACTATCTTTCCTACTTAGTATTCATTAAGCGTACCGAACTTGCCTTAGCAGCGGAGTGTTATAGAGCTAAAAGATTACTGTGAACAATTTATTCGGTTGAGTTTACCTTCATGGTAAAGATTATTGTGAGCAGTCGAGAATTGAAAAGAAGTACTAATTGCCCTGGTAATGGTTTCAATTATAACATGGGAGGTTTCTCTCTAAAAGACTTTTCGAGTTTTCCTTCTTTACCTAAGTAGTCTTATGATTCGAAATATTTACCTGGTCGATTTACTATCCAGTGGGCTACATCTTGCTCTCTATCATCCGGTTCATCAATTTCCTCTAGTTCGACAATAGAATTGTCACGGTAATTCTCATTTACTTCAAAATTGAATTCGGTGGTGGCGTGAATAACTTGACATTCTTCTGGATCATCAGCATACTTTAAGGTTGGAAAAACATTCAGTTTAACTTGTTGGTTAATCACTCTCATAGTGAGTTATCCCATTTCGATATAAATTAAGGTTCTTCCCGTTGCAAGAAATGGTCTTCCAAGGATAATAGGAGTGAACTCATCTTCTCAACAATCTAAAACAACGAAGTCAGTTGGAAAAATAAATTTATCAACTCTTACCAGTATATCTTTAATTTTTCCCTCTGGTTGAATATATGATATGTCTGCAAGCTGTAGCATAACTGTCGCATGTGTGTCACCTTCTCGATTCCCAATATTGTGAACAAATATTTAGACATAAGGTTTATGCTCACTCCAAGATCGCATAACGCCTTCCCGACATAATGATTTCTAATTGTACATGGTATTGTGAAACTACCGGGATCTTTTAGTTTGGGTGGCATTCGGTTGTGCAACATGACCATGCATTCCTCTATCACAACAATTGTTACAAACTCTCATAGCCTAGTTATCTTAGAGACAATATCCTTAAGGAACTTAACATAGTTTGACATTTGCTCGATCGCCTTAACCAACGGAAAGTTGATGTGAACTTGCTTCAAGATGTCCAATAATTTCTTGAACTAGTATTCTTGTTTCCGTCTTTTCGTCCTTTGAGGGCATGGTGGTGGAATTCAGATCTTCTCATACTTCCCGTATGTTTGAAATTTGATAGATGTACTTGCTTTTGTATCTGGAATTACCAAGGCATGTAGACTTACATGGATAATCATCGGTTCATCAATATCGATCATAGCATTGTTGCTGGATGCATTTTTCTAAACATAGGTATGTTCTGCCAGTTGAGTTTTATCCGTGGATTATGCAGGGGTTTCAATTAGCTTTCGCCCACTTTGGGTGGTGACTACCTTACATTGCTCGTGGCCTACTCCCTTTGTTACCTCAGTATCTCTGGGTAAACCACCTAGTGGTCTTGTATTCAAGTTCTGGGCAAATTATTAGACTTGTGTCTCCAAGGATTTCAAAGTTTCCTCTTGGTTCTGCAGTCTTATCTCATTCCTGATAATGAAAGCGCCCGTCCTTTTCATGAAACCACTATTCTCAACCATGTAAGATTCAATTTTTAAAATAAAAGATTTGAGAGAATTTTCCAAAGAATTGGATGGTATTGCTTGTTGTTGTGGCATTTGTTGCCTTGGCATATTCTACTGAAATACTGATGCTTATGTATCGTGATTATTCTGATTGAGGGTATTATTCAGGTTACCCTATGAAAAATTTGGGTGCTTCCTCCAAGTTGGAGTGTACGTGTTAGATATCACATTCTGTTCTGGTTGTAATTTCTAATATAGAAGCTAGATTCTGGGTTTTGTGGGCACTCAAAAGAATCATGGTTACCATTACATAACTCACAAAAGGAATTTATTACCTTGATCTCCTGTGGATTGCTTTGTCAATGTATATTCTTAACCAAGTTGGTTAAGGTAGCCAATTGTGCGAAAATAGTGTCTGTTGTATCAAGCTCGTTTATTATGGTATTACGTCGAACTCCTCCTCTTCTAGTAGTTGAAAATCGATAATCATTCTTGACAAGATGGTTCAGAATCTTCATTGCTTCCTCCTATGACATGTCGAGAAGTGTTCCGTTTGTCGAAGCATTTAGCATCATCCTCGTCAACGTATTCACTGAGTTGTAGAATATCGTCACTTGTGTCCATAGTGGAATCTGTGAATGGGACATTTGAGTAAAAAATCATTGTATCGGTCCCAAGCCTCGTACATGGATTCATCATCTACCTGTCGAAAAGAAGTAATATTGTTACACAATTTATCAGTCATATTTATAGAACTAAATCTAGCAAGAAAATCTCGACATAAATCTATTCAAGATTCTAGAGATTCGGACATGATACTATTCAACCACAATTTGGCCTTATCCCTTAGTGAATAGGGGAATAATTTTAGCTTTAAGACATCCTCATGGATTCCTTGTTGCTTGAATGAATTGCAAATTTCCAGGAATAATTTGAGATGTTGTTTGAGATCTTCCATTACCGATCCGCCAAATTGATCAATTGTGTTGATCATATTTCAATATTATTGGTTTTAATTCGAAGTAAGCGACTTCTATTTCAGGTGTGACAACTCATGGATTGAGACTGTTAAGATATTCTTCTAAGTAGTCTCAAATGGGTTTGTTCCTTACAATTATCTGGTTGCCAATTGAGTCAACGAGTTGGTCTCTCATTGCTGCTCATTGCTCGTATATTCTTTTATGAAAACTCACTTTATTTCAGGTTCAAATGGATATTTTGGTGATGTTGGTCTCGCCCTGGTCACACACAGATGCAAAACAACAAATTATAAGCCCCTTAAATCTAAAAAGAAAGAGAAATAATAATAATAATAATAATAATAATAATAATAAAGGTGCAAGAAATAAAAAAATAAAGTCGTTATTGCTAATCCCAGGCAACAGCTCTTAAACCTTTTTGGGTGATTTGAGTGCTTCGTAATTGTTGCAAGTATTCACGTAGCAAGTTATAATATAAAATAGATATCGTCTCCATAGGGATTGGTGTAACTATGTGTTCTAACAAGTAAAATAAAGATGCAAGTAAATAAAAGAAGTTTGTGATTGAATAAGAGAGCAAGCCAGGTTATCGTGAGTTGTGGTGTGATGACTGTATGAATAGTCTGAGCAATTGATTGACGAGGAAAATCGATTTCCGTGACAACTGAAAATTATTCAATTGTTGTAACAACTAGTTTCCTCCCTTCAAAGCTCGGCGAAGCATTCTTCAATGTCTTCTTGTTATCCATAACCCGAAGAACTAATTAATTATGCATGCCTTGGTGATACATCCCTGTGTTAACCATGGGTGAACAACAACCAATCTTGCGCTCCTTTTAGCCGTTGAAATCTGAATCTTATCCTTAAGATGGATTAATCTTCACCAACATTCGTTAGAATGAAGATCGTGCTCATTCGTTTCTTGAATCTAACTCTCTCGATATTAGATAAATGAATAATTCTCAAGATCCTCACCCAATTTACTCGAAATCAAATTAAGAACCAAGAATGAACAAACTTTGAATTTAAACTGCAATAAATGAACCTAAACAAATCCAAATGTTTTCACAACCACAAAAACCCAATAGCCCAAGCCAATTTAGTTTAGTTCATGGCTGGGTGCAAAAGAAATACAATATAAAAATTCCCAGACATAAAATTAGAAAAAAAGGAAGAAAATAAGAAAACTTGTGATCAACTCTCGATTTTTCTCTCTAGTCGGCCCCTTGTAGATTGCGATTTGATTGATATTTATAAGAGATTATTAGGTTAAATTGGTTGTTGATGAGGATGAGTCTTAGTTGGAATAAAAGAGGTAATAAATCTCTTTTATCTTTATCCTTAAACTCCTTGTGAATTAGACTTCTTTGTCTCCTTAAATTCTGCATGGAATTCCAGATTTTTAGGATTTTTTTCCTTGTCGTTCTTATCTTGAATGAGGTGGACTTCTCTAGTCATCTGCGGCAATCGACTCGGCAGATCCTTCAGAAATCAACTTCCAATGCCACGACAATTCCTGTTTGCCAAGGCAATCCCTAACTTGCACAAATTAACACACACCAACAACATCTTTTCCCCAAAAAACCAACCAAAATGTAATATTAAACTTAACGATGAAGGAAACTATGAAATCATGCATGAATGACTAATAATGCAACTAAAATGGACCCAAGTCTAGCAATAGTTGAGTAAATAAGTAGAAAATATAGTACTTTTATACACTTAACAATGTGTATCTACTCTAAAAAAATATTTCCGAGTCCCTCGTTCATTGTAAGAATGATCATCTCTAAGGCTATATTAACATGACAAGCATACTAAAAAATACGATTAATGAATATATTGGTAAAAGTGACATCATACGTCAGTAGATCTTGTTAAAGAAATTATGTATCTGTTACTCTTATCTTCTTCACCTCGAGTGCAAAAATAACATGAGATATGAAATTGAGTCTTTTACTTTCTACCACCAACTCTAAATAATCCTTATCTCACATCAAAATATGTTTAGTAACAAAACCCATATAAACAAGGTGTTACCAACCAATTCATATGTCGTAGACATCAAAATCTCACAATGACATTTCCATCAAAACAACAAGAAATATATGTCCCAAAATCATCAATGGGCATATCCACTAAAAAGACTTTCACGTATCACTATGCTCGATAGGAATCCAAATATGATTCACCAAGTTACTCAAGATATAGGAATGAAACTATCCCGAATCAATCAGAGAATACAATGGAAAAATTAGAACATATAATTACTTGTAATTACATTCGTCGAGATATGATCGTGTGGCTCACAAAGCGCATAATCTCTAGCTGAACCAGCAGACTAGATCGAAGTATCTTCGACACAAACCATGATCCCATGCGTATAATTAGAGACTTAACAAAACAATATCATATAATTAGAGGACTATTTATGAACTTTATCCTAATTTTTAATATATATTGAAACCCATAATTAATAGAGAAAATAACTTCAGTGACCGAAAATGTCTTATAATATACGATTTTAACCAACTTTTTTTGGATTTGCAAAAATGACCAATAAATTCGCAACGCGAACTCCAATTTCGCAACACATGTTCCAAAATCGCAACACGAATATGTAAATCGCAACAATAATATGTAAATTGCAATGCAGTTTTCCAAAATTGCAACGCCATTTTCCAAATTCGCAACGCCAATATGTAAATCGCAACGCTTATTACCGATGTAGGTAAACAAAACTATCTCAACGCGATTTTTAAATTCGCAACAAGATTTTCAAATTCGCAACGCTAATTACTTATAAAAGTAAACAGTACTATCGCAACGCGATTTACAAATTTGCAACGAGATTTTTAAATTCGCAACGCTAATTAGCGACATAGATAAACAGTACCATCGCAATGCGATTTTCAAATTTGCAATGCGATTTTCAAATTCGCAACGCTAATTACCGATATAGGTAAACAGTACTATCGCTACGCGATTTATAAATTCGCAACGCTAATTATCGATATAGGTAAATAGTACTATCGCAACGCGATTTACAAATTCGCAACGAGATTTTCAAATTCGCAATGCTAATTACCGACATAGGTAAATAGTACTATTGCAACGCGATTTACAAATTCGCAACGCTAATTACCAATATAGGTAAACAGTACTATCGCAACACGATTTACAAATTCGCAACGAGATTTTCAAATTCGCAACGCTAATTACCGACATAGGTAAACATTACTATCGCAACACGGTTTACAAATTCGCAATGAGATTTTAAAATTCGCAACGCTAATTACCGACATACGTAAATAGTGTTATCGCAATGCGAATATGTAAATCGCAACGCTAATTACCGATGTAGGATCGCAACGAGATTTTCAAATTCGCAACGCTAATTACCGATGTAGGGAAACAGTGTTATCACAACACGATTTCCAAATTCGCAACGCGATTTTCAAATTCGCAACGCTAATTATCAATATAGGTAAACAGTACTATCGCAACGCGATTTTGGAAACTGTGCTGCGATTTACATATTCGCGTTGCGATTTTGGAAACTGTGTTGCGATTTACAAATTCGCGTTGCGATTTTGGAATCTGTGTTGCGAAATTAGAGTTCACATTGCGAATTTGTTGGTCATTTTCGCAAATCCAAAAAAAAAGGTTAAAATCGTATATTATAAGGCATTTTCGGTCACTGAAGTTATTTTCTCTAATTAATATCAAGCCAAAACAAAAATCCAAGTAAAGGCCTAAAGGAAGTGGGCTTAAACCCAAAAACACGTAATAAAAACCCTCGGATAAAACTATGTCTACATACACATACCTAGCATGCTTGACTATGTTAAAACCAGAACTGTATCTGGGCCTGGACAGGAGGAACACCTACCGAGGGTCATGAACTTTTATAGTATATTATACTTATAAAAAATAATTTTATATTAGTTATAGGTTCACTTATTTTTAATATTTATTATAAAAGTTAATTTTTCTCTAATATTTATTACTATGTGTTTAATTTTTTCTAATATTTATTATTAGGGTTTACTTTTATAACTTTTTTCTAATATTTATATAAGTGTTTAATTTTTTGTTAATATTTTTTTCTAACATTTGCTACTAAAGACTCAATTTTTTCAATATTTATTATTAGAGATCCAAGTTTTTCAATATTTGTTATCAGGATCGTAGTTTTAAAATTTAATTTCTTTTCTAATATTTATTTGTTGTTATGAGACCAATTTTTTCAGTACTTTTTATAAATGTATAATTTTTTTCAATATTTTTTATTATGAGCATACTCTTAAAATTTACTTTTTCTTTTAATATTTGTTATTAGGGACCATTTTTTTCAATATTTGTTAGGGTAAATTACAAGCTTACTCACTGAACTTTACTCTCTCTCCTATTTCACTCACTGTAGTTTCAATTTTTTTCAATTTTCTCACTGAACTTTAGACATTGAACTTTTTTTGTCACTCAACAGTTAATTTTCTAACATCGTTAAATTAAAATTGAAAAAAATTAAAAGTACAGTGAGTGAAATAGGAGATAGAGTAAAGTTCAGTGAGTAAACATGTGACATGTTTTATTATTAAAATAAGCCACGTGTGCACGTTGTTACCGAGTAAACGGTCGAGTAACAAAAAAAATTCAATGTTTAAAGTTCAGTGAACAAATTGAAAAAATTGAAAGTACGATGAATGAAATAGGAGAGAGAGTAAAGTTCTATGAGTAAGTGTGTAATTTACCCTATTTGTTATTATGGAACCACCCTTAAATTTATTTTTTCAACACTTGTTATTAGGAACAATTACTTAATAACAGTCTGTAACCACAACAATGACTGTTATGCAGTAACAACGATATTGTCTGAAACTGCGATATCCACAATTGATATGTCCACAATAGCATATGCTATTAAAAAATCGCAATCACGATACTTGTAGTGACTGCAATACCATATGTTATGTCCACAACAGCAATAAACGCAAAGCAGTAAAAAAATGCAATTTAAATCCTTCTTGATAGAGCCTAATTTTTTAGTTCGCCCAAAGGCCACCAAAATCTCAGAAACAGGTCTGGTTAAAACTATTTTATTGAAGTATGCTTATCTATACACTTTTACCAAGCATACACTCTTAGATACTAAATACTGACATACATGCATAGTAACTTACTCAAACATGCCTTACACATAGAATTTGCATATCAACATGCAACTTATGCAATTGCCTACTGCATGATGAATAATAAGACATACATGCCATAAACATCAAAATTACAAACATTCACATCTCTCATTTATTATATACACATCAAGCATTATAACTATATGCCAAAACATTAAATACACAAACTAAATACTTCACGTATCTTTTTTTCAATAAGAAAAATAATTACTTTAGGAGTTTCAATAAGAAAAAAGAAATTACATACTTCGATACAATTCAGAATAAGATTTATTGTCTTCATTATTTAAAAAATTTTTCTACTAAAAAATCAACTAATTTTATTAACTATTAGTTAATAAATTATCACGTCAAATATTCGATATATAAAAACATTAATGAATTTTGAAATTAAGCCTTATATTAAACTTGTGTTTTGATTTGGTTTCATTTGGTTATTTTTGGTGTTGTATATAGTTTTATTAGAAGTTATTGTACAGGTATTTTTCTAATGTTTATTTTTATAGTTTATGTCCTGGATTTTATTATTCTCCTTAATGATTATATATGGAGTATTTTGTTAGCCGCTGCTTGTTTAAACGTTTTGTTATTGTTGTTCTTAATAAAAATGTTCCAGAGAGCTAAAGAGTCTGAGAAAGAAAAGTTGCATTTTCATTATTTCAAAAAAGGTCACAATTAAACAAACCAAACAGCGAAAATGGTGACAAAAAATAGAAAAAGAAGCGGGGGAGAATGATAGAGAGGGGGAAAGGGAGAGGGAGAAGGAGAAGTGGAGGGAGAATCAGAGGGAGATGATGATGAATTGGAAGATGCTGATGGAGGTGAACGCTTCGAAGTGGAAGTGGAAGTGGAAGTAGGCTGGAAACTTTTAATCATGATGGGGAACTTACAAGTCCCATTGGATGGATCTCGTTTAACAATCTTAGCCAGCCCTTGGAAATCACATGCTGCTTTGCTTTGATTCGACATCTGGTAATACATGTTGAAGGCAACCGATGCGTTGGTTTCAATTCCCATGCCTGAACATGAAGCTCCAGCCACCAAAGTGGTGCAATCGGTATTATTGCAAGCCCATGCAACCTTGACATTCAGATCTTTCTGATCGGAAGCATCCTCGTTATACACACACCACTGCTTTTCCATATAGGGCACATTTTTCCCACCAACAAGCGACTTATTCTGTCCTTTACCCGAAAGATCCATCGGATACTTTGGTTGTCCGTCAAAGCTAAATATTCCCCAGTGCCTCTCAAACATCCCTGGATCAACACTCTTTAGATCTTCATCCAACAAAGAGAACATGTACACATCAGGATACGTCTTTGGACGAAGTGGAGTTCCATCGTTTTTCGCCATTTTCTTCAACAGCCCATCGTAGAATCTCTTGGCATTTTTTGTGGTGGCGTAAAGGTTACCATCGGTCGGCCATCCAACTTCCCCGACGATGATCGGTATGTCTGGGAATTTGGCTACTTTGAGTGCCGCTACAAGAGTGTCGATGTTGGCATCAAGAACACTACGATATTTAACGCCATGGTCATCCATTGAAGACGAGTCATCGTTACCGAAGAATGCATAGTTTTCGGGGAATCCAGGATTTTGGTAAAGATTAAGAAAAGGATAGATGTTGACGATGAAAGCCGCTCCATTTTCATCGAGAAACGAGCATATGTCGCCCATGGTATCTGCTATGTCAGGTCGGAATATTCCGTCGGACGGTTTGTAAGTAGGTGTTGTGTAAACGTCACCATTAAGCGGTGATGATACTTTGATATCTTTTCCGTGACCAGCTTCATTTAATGCCTTCAGAACGTTCTTCATAGCTGGGAGTGTCAAGTTGGTGAACGTTCCATTGTAGGATGTCAGAAATGGTTCATTTCCTACTGCCACGTACCTGTAAAATAGTTTAACCCGTTTTAAAAACAAGTAATTAAAAGTTAATGGATCAAAATTGAAGTTGAACTCACTTGAAATTGACACGCTTTTTACCCATATAGGCTGTGATATTCGCTTTAACCCAAGCCTGGGCGACACTGTATTTCTGGGAAAGGCTTTTCAAAGATTCATTAGGAATCCCCACCATGACCTCAAGACCAGTTCCTGCCAGGGCATCTAGAACTTGTGGTTCAGCGTGGAAAATCTTGACCTTTTTGATGCCATTATCTTTTATCATTTGAACAACAATCTTAGGGTCCAATGGATGTGATGCTATGACACCCCAATTCACACCAAGCTCTTGTGCCTCAATGCTAGCAGGCACAAATATCAGTAGTACATATGCCCATAGGAAGACCTGAGCTTGAACCATTGTGGGAGCTACTTCAAAGGAGGGTATCAACGGTTTATTCAAAGAAATATGGATTTTCTTTGTTTTCAGTAAAGTAAAACTATGGGTGTTATTGGGTTTTTTTATTATTATTATTCACTTTTATGTTTGTTTCTGTTTCATTTGAAAAGGCAAAACACGAGATATATAAAGGTCATTAGGTATAGATCTATAGTAAAGTTCTTGGTTGTACGAAAAACTAGAGAAGAGGCCATCATTATAGATCTGCAGTTAGTTGCTTCTGATTTTCCATTTATTGTTATGATTTATGATATGTACAAAATAGGGAGTTTATAATGATATGTTGAATAAGTCTACCAACTGCACAGTACAAAACAAATAAGATAATATATTTATTTTTATCTATGTATTTAGATAACTTTTAAAAAAAATATTTCTTTTATCTTTCATCAACTATAAGACAATGTTGCAAGATCATTCTACTTCAATTAAGAATCAATGAACTTTACTTAATATTCAATGCGCCTTACTTCAAAGCCATAGTTCGTCTCTGAGAGCTTTGGAATGTCAAGTTGGTCAGGAAATACTTTTACTCAAATTATTTTTTTATTTGAATTTATATTTTTTCTTATCCTAACATTTTTTATTAATCAAAACTAATATGTTAGAGTCTAAGAGTCAATCGTTGGTACCTCTCATCCCTCACTATTTCTTCCTCCAACGTCCATCTTTTGTTTTCCTTTCCTATCTCTCTAGGTTTGTTTTGCAAATGAGTTTATTATCCCCTCACCGTTGCTGCCTCCACTCTGTGACTGTGTAGCCACCATCGCCGACGATGGCTGCTGCCATTGGTCCCCTCGCCGACCGGTCGTGAGATGGTGCAATTAACCGACAGTCCCCTTTAGTTATATCGACATCATCTATATTCGAACCAAACCCTCTACCGGATTCCTATTGAGTCAAAAATAAATTTAAATCGTCGATGAATTAATATTTCGTAATCTGAAATTTCTAAATTGAGACTTAAATCCAGACGTTATAATTTTACAGGAAATTCTAAACTGGGAACCGATTTACCACCTCCTCTGTCGGTACCCAAAAACTTCTAACCTATTCGTATAGCTCGTGTTGACCGTTCTGATTCGGGTCGACCCAATGTTCAGGTTGACCATGGAAAATGTTATTATCGTCCTTAGCTGTTAGTCGAGGTGTGTCTCTCTTCGGTGCTATATTACTATGTGTTGATTGACTGGTTGTTTGACTGAAAAATTGAATTGAAGCATTATTGTTATGTGAAATTGTTTGCCTTAAATACAATTCGAATAAATGCTATATGTTGTATGTTGATTTATCAAATTTATAATGTATATTGTACGCTTTGAATATTTGAATTATGTTGATCTGTCGGATTTGGAATATATGATATGCATTCATAATATATGCCTAGGAACATTTGACTTTGTAATATGTTATATTCAAATCGGATCAAGAATCATATATGTATGTCATTATAACACCCATAGCCCATATGTGCCTCGAAATATGAGCTAAATATGTCACATCAATTTTACAAACCTTCACTGAACATAAATGCTTAAATTTTTTGTTTCGTTTTAAAGCATTCTTATTCCAACTTTAAAACTATTCCATTGATCTTAATAAAAAAATAATATTTAATCATTAAAAATAGATTCATTTCAAAGCAGAAATTAAGCAGTTTGATATTGTTTTCTAACTTATATAGAACTGCCTAATCATCATTTTGTTTAAAAACCCTTTTAGAATATAATCATATATTTATTTAAACTATTCATTCATAGATACATATATGACTAGTCTAGTCAAAATAAAATGGTTCTAGTTACTATTACAGACCATTTAATTTAATTACAAATAAACTACTGATAACATAAATATACATGTCATTACTAGTCAAAAGTAACATTATAGATTTCTTACTGATACAAATAGTATAAACAATCTCCGAAAAGACGTTCAAGAGGCTCTTCACTGCACGTCCTAATCCTTATCCGAACCTATGCATAAAAATCATCACGCGCTAAGTAAAACTTAGTGAGGCAGTAATAACTCAAGGTGAGATTAAAATATACATAAATGTCATAAATACATTAAAATATTCAAAACAATTTAAATAAAATCTTAAAATGTTCAAACGAATTAGCTCAAGTAATTTCTTCATCATAACCTGAAAATGATCAACTTATAATTTTCTCAAAAATCATAATAATCAATAACAGACAGAGTAATTATTTAACATTTCTTTTCATTCAGACACATTTCTGAACATTCATATTCCATTATCATAACCCAAAGTATATTTAAGAGAATGCAAAGTACGTGAGTAAGACAAGTGTACGCAATAAGCACTTCAGTGCTATTATCATAATCAAACTTTGCATTCCAAATGCAATCATATCATTTGTATCAACGATGCTAAACATAATATATATACAAATGTACCAAATCATAATCATAATCACTCCACCTCATGGCATGCCAATTGTACCAATGACTCTCGATGCAACATACAATGGAATTTAGATCGTATCATAATCATTTAATAACCAACATTTCAGAAATCAGAATCATTTTTGTTGAACCATGTTTTATAATATTTTGATATAACAAATTATGACAAAATGTTTTTGGACTTGATTGAATTTGTTCAAAGTTTTCAAAAATAATTTAAAGTCCATTAAACTAGAATTTGAGTACAAAACAGTTTTTGGGTACGTAGTACCGATACTATTCTTATAGTATCGATACTAAATGAATAATATCGACATTGTTCATGTGGTACCGATACCAAAGGTAAGAGAAAGATCGATACTCTCTAGGTAGTATCGATACTACCAGTTGTTTTCCAAATTGCTTAAATTCTAGAATGCAAAATAGGTACTGATACTCAAAGGGGTACCAATACTATTTTACACAGTGGCATCGATATCATGCATGAATCATAGTATCGATACTGGTCAAGCCCAATGGTCTTTAATGGCTAGTTTATTTAAAAATTATAAAGGTAGTGCCGATACTCATTAAAGGAGTATAAATAGTCCATGTCTTGGGTAGTTTTATTTTGCAGAAAATTAATCCCCAACGGCTAGAAACAACCACAAACTCATTCCAACATATAAAAATAAGTTGATGACACTTGAAGAAGGTTACACAACACCTATCCAAGCAATCCACATCAAGAGAAGAGTTTTTCACTCTTTATCTTTCCTTTTCTCTTGTACATAAGTGTGTTTGAGCTCATTGCAAATCTTTTGATTGTTTTCTTGTGAGCTTAATTTTTTTAAACACTTTCCTTTAAGAGGTTTTCTTGTTTACATATTTTATATTTTTTGAAAAGTGGATTGGTTCTAGCTTAGCCTTTGAAAAGTTAAGGAGTTGTAAAGGTTATCTCTTTATCCTGGAAAAAGAAAGAACAAAGTTAGTGAATTTGTTAGAAAATCCTTAGTGAGGAGCTAAGGTAGTGGATGTAGACTTTGTTGAGAAGTCGAACCACTATAAATCCTTGTGCAAATTTTCATATCTCTTTAGACTCCTTACTGCCTAAGCTCAAAAAGTCAATTCACCCCCTCTTGGCAAGTATTCGGTTGATCATTGAGCTTCATCGCAAACCCAACAATTTTTATTTCACTGTCGTAATAATCATAACTTGAGCAGTTCATACCCTAAATCATACATAAAAATTTATAAAAGATATTATAGAAATAACCATAAATAAGACATAAATCATACTTTTAAAATAATATGAGGTTGACTTATCACAAGTTCTTCTCAGTCAGAATAATTAAATAAATAAATTGCATTCACCTTTGCCTCACTATCGAACCTTTTATACAATACTCCTAATAATGCACTTGGTCCTCCCCTTTTGGGTCATTCAGATCACTAGATCTATCGTGATCTAACAATATCACATAATAACACAAAGTATTCGAATTACATGTTAGTATCATACTAACATAAGCTAACTTTAATATTAAAAAAGTCTATAAAAATAAATTTGATACTTAATCGATATCAAACTAAACTATATCTTCAATATAATTTCAAACTTCTGAAAATACTCGTTCAAATCCATAAATATTTATTTTCATTCTTTACCTTTCATCTTTTGCCAATTACATAGTCAAACCCCTAATCGTGAATTCTTTTTAGAATTCACCCCAACTTTTCCATTAAATTCATAATGATCCTTCATCATTATGATCATTACACATTAATTACTAAATTTCCAGCACTTTAACAAAATAGTCAAAAATCAATACCTCAACATTCAAAATATTGCAATTTCAACCTAAACTTTTTTAAACTTCTGATTCCAACCACCTAACCTTATAAACTTGTGATTTACTCACTCAATAATTAAACTAAAAAATCAGCATATCAATAATATTTCCAGCATTAAAATTTTCTGTTCAGAATAGTACCAACACCTTTGCAAAATCATAAACAAGTCCCTAAAGTTTTGGGACCTTTCAAATTCCACCATTACAATTTAAGAAAATTGTAATTTGGTTCCAACTAATTTTCCAACTTAAAATTCCAGCATATGCTTATTAAAAATCAACATTAATTACCTCAAATTACACATATACACATTTAAGTCCCACAATTTTCACAACATACAAACTAACCCTTTTTCTAATTCAAGCTTCCAAATTGATCTCCAACTCACATAGAACTCTTCTAATATCATTTCTAGACAATAAAAAAATTTCAACATGTTCCCTCTAATTGCTTCCCTATGGACGAACTTCACTATATACATGGAACAAACTTTTCCTTAAATTTCAAGAATGAATTCATTTTCCTTACATCAAATTCATGCATTTCTAATCATCACAACAACCAATTAAATCAAAATCCATCAATTCTCCATAAACCCTAAATTAGCCTAACTTAATATAAACATCTACACATGATTTTAATCATCCTTGCCTTAGAATTAATCTCCAACACCAAAAGCATAATAATCTTTCATTAAA